CCCGCGGCCGCAGGCACAGAGCAGCCGCCCCTCACCGACCGCGAAACCGAGCTGTCCCAGTCTATGGCCGCTCTTCAGCAGAGGTGTGCTGCTCTCGCCGCCGACCTTGCCGCTGCTCAAGCCCGTCAAGGCCCTCTGCTCCAGCGCCTCCACCGCGCCGGGCGTGCCTTCGCCGAGCTGCTTACGCCCTCGCCCGATGGTGCTGCGCCGCCACTCACCCTCCATGCTATGCTGTCATCGCTCCGCGGCGCTCCGCCTGGTGCCCCGCGCTAATCTCCGCCATTCTGCCTGCCCGTGTGCACGCGTGGCCCCGCGTCCACGGTGTCAGGGCGCGGGGGCGGGGGGTGCCCCGTCCCTGCGCGCCGCGTTGCGGCCAAGCGCCCAACTGGCGGTCTGCCAAGCCGCCTAGCCACGTGTCAGCACGTCGCCTTTCTTGTTGGGGCCTTCTTCGTCACGCGGTCTGTCACGTGAGATCTTCACCGTCTGTCCGCCGTCTGTAGCGTCTGTCGCATTGCGCCGGGGGAGGGGGTTTGTTGCCCGCCCTCGTATCTCAAGGCTGCACCGCCGCAAATAGTGTTTGGCGAGTTGTCGCACCGCAGTGCGCCTCGCGGACGGACCCTGGTCCGCCTACTTGTCCGCTCTCTCTCTCTCTCTCTCTCTCTCTCTCTCTCTCTCTCTCTCTCTCTCTCTCTCTCTTTCTCTCTCTCTTCTCTCTCTCTCTCTTCTCTTCTCTTCTCTCTTCTCTTCTCTTCTCTTCTCTTCTCTTCTCTTCTCTTCTCTTCTCTTCTCTTCTCTTCGCTTCTCTCTCTCTTCTCTTCTCTTCTCTCTCTCTTCTCTCTCTCTCTCTCTCTCTCTCTCTCTCTCTCTCTCTCTCTCTCTCTCTCTCTCTCTCTCTCTCCTCTCTCTCTCTCTCTTCCCATTCCTCTGCCGCTGCATCTCTGTCGTAGCATGGGGCGCCGTCCTTATCCAACCAAACGTGCGCTGCCCCTTTTTTCTCTCTGGTGATTGACATCTTGATGCGAGAAGGGTCGTCGTCGTCGGCGCGGCTGAGCTCGCAGCGGTGCGAGAACTGGTTCTCGATGGGACATGTAGTGCCTGATCGCAAGAAACAAGTCTTTATATTATATGTAGAGTGGCAAGAACAAGCCAGTGACATTGTGTGTTCTGCATAACGGCCGTCCTCTCGCACATTGCTCCGCACTACCAGTGTCAATGATAATGGGTACACGATGTCTTTTATCGCTGCAAGCTCCGCGATGTCGACCGTTATGAAAGCGGTCGCCACGCGACCGACTACGCGCAGCAATCTGAAATCAGGGAAGCCCCAGTCAATGACTGGAACACATATGGTAACTTGTTATCTGCTGATAGCTCAAAAGGGGATCCCCTGATATGATAAGAACACAACTGGCAGCGGCACATATTTTGTTATGTTATGTTGTGTTTAAAATCCTCGAACACCTCGTAAATGAAAAATACCCAAATTGCTTGATCTACTGCGTTTCGAGCCGGGCCCTCAACCTGTTCATTTTCGCACAAGAAAGGCCCAAGAGGGGGACCACGATTCGAAAATTCTAACCTTCCGCCCCGAGAGGGCCCCAGGAGGCCCCAAGAGGCCCCAACGCTGCCCCCAAGAGGTTTCGAAACTTGCTCCAAGAGGCCCCCGAGAGGCCCACCGCGATACCCCAACGAACATTCAAGAGGCCTCTGACCCACCACCCAGGCACGGTGGCGGGATGGGCCGAAGGCCAGTATATCCGCCGCCCCTTGTTGATTTATCACAGAGGCGCCTGGCGTGCTGGATCCTTAAGATGTTGGTTGTGGTTCTTCTCCAAAAGATTGTTCGATTTGTTCAAGGATGTCTCAGGCGAAACGCTCAGTTTCGAAGGTTCGTCAAATTCATGACTTCCATGTTTTGGAGGATGTCCCAAGCGAAGAGCAGGTTTTTTAGATAAAAAAACGATGGTGCGAACATCTAGTTCGTGCGATCATGTCTCAAACGAAATGCTGATTTCGAGGAACCTGACCGGACAAGAACGGGAAGCGCCGATTTGTCAACGAACCCTGTCAGAAAAACGCATGTTGATAATGTCAAAGAAACGTAGAAACGTAGACCAACAACGCAGCAGTGCGGCAGACGAGCACGGCATACCACAGCAGCACGGCAGGCCAGCACGGCAGACCACAGGAGCACGGCTGACCAGAACGGCAGAACGAGAAGGAGCATAGCAGACCACAGGAGCACGGCAGACAACCACGGCGGACCACAAGAGCACGGCAAACCAAAACGGCAATCCACAAGAGCACGGCAGACCGGCACGGCAGACCAGAGGAGCACGGCAGACCAACGCGGCAGACCACAGGGGCACGGCAAACCGCAGCACCTCTACAGACGAACGCGGCGGACCACAAGAGCACGGCAGACTAGCACGGCAGACCACGCGAGCACGGCAGACCACAGCAGCACTACAAACCAGCACAGCGGACCACAGAACACGGCAGACCAGCGCGGCAGACCACAGGAGCACGGCAGACCAGCACGAGCTGCGTCTTTAAGTGATTGGCATCGAAAAACACCTAATCCGAAGCTGCATGTTTTCTGGGTGTCTGCAGCAAGAGCCTCATTTCCGAAGAAACGAAATATTTGCAAGCTACTTCATCATTTCATTTGTAGGAACGTCGTCGTATGGCAGATCCCCCAGCATCCGCATTTTGGGAGGATGCCTCAAGCGAAAATGTCGTTTTTGCAACAATCGATGCTGATAACTTCTCGTTTGGTGAGGATTTCCGCTTCAAAACCGTTATTTTCGGCCGTGTCATTTTTCGGGCCGCTCTCCAAATTGGTCCCACTGCCGAAGCTATACAACTCTTGTGTTGCCGATTGGGCTGGGCCGGAAACGTGCGGTACCGAACAGTCCGGCAAGCACGTCGCGCCCTGGTGTCAGGGAAGGCGAAACAACCAGGCTCCAAGCTGGGGAGCAACCCAACCCGGACCCAATGCACTTCGGTCAGGCCAAAGACAGGCTTGGAAAATGATACAGGCGTGGGTTGGGGTGGGTAATTTCCGCAGCCTCGAGCCACAAAGGCAACGGTGCTCATGCAGTCGCCCACCCAACCCCCAAATGATACTTGGGCTGCTTTGTGAGAGCAAATTGCTACTTCAGAAAAACGTCCACGCCGGAGGCGCTTCCCGCCATTCCCCGAAATGCCTCAGGATGCTTCTAAAAAACCCACATAAGGCCCTCAGAGTCCCGCAAACGGCCCCCAAGAGCTCAACAAAGCCTCACCCGTGTATTTCTTTCCTCTTCTGCGGGTCGGTGGAACGGCGTAAGCCCCTTGAATGAGGATGAAGTTCCACTCTGCCGAGATGCCCGCCGCGGCGAAGACCCAGATGGCTCCGAAGAGCAGGAGGCCAGACTGCACATTGACCGGGCCGAACCTCTCGAGGAGGGTGCCGAGCGCCACGCGCACAAAGATCGTGATGCCGACCGAGGTGATGCTTGAATACAGGATCGTCGAACCGCAGTGCGTGCCCGGGCTGCAAACGCACTTAGGGAGGACTTCGAAATTATCCGCCACCGTGCCCCCTGACACGTCGAGACGTGCTAGAATGCCAAGTGCTGTCTGGCAGGGTTTCTGTAATCTTCTAAGGCCCCCCCCCCGCTCGACGCGCCCCATTGCATGCATCGCCCCCTCTCCCGAGGCTCTCTGGGCGGCCATGACGCCTCCTTGGCGCTCTTCATGGCGTCCAAGATGCCCAAGATGGCTTCCCATACGGACCTGGGAGGCCACCAGGGCCGCCAAGATGGCCCAAGATGCCTCCAAGATGGTCCAAGATAACCCCAAGATGGCCCAAGATGGTCGGACACCGTCGGACATCGCGAGACAAAGAGGTGTACATATGGGGATCTCCACGTCGAATATAATAAGTTGTTGCACGATTTTCGCATTCTTGCCTTTGCGCTTCCGTCGGCTCAAGACGACCCAAGAGCTCTCCAAGTTGGCCCCACGACGGCCCAAGAGGGCCTCAAGGTAGCCCAAGAGGCCTCCAAGACGGCCTTAAGACAGCCCAAGAGGGCCCCTGGAGAGCCCAGGACGGACCCAAGAGGGCCTCAAGCTGGCCCTGAAGTGCTTCCGGAGGGACCCAAGCCGGCCTGAGAGGACCCCCTGGACGGCCGAATACGGCCCAAGAGGGCGGGCCTCAAGACGGCCCAAGACGGCCGCAAGGTTCCCCCAAGACTGCCTCTCAGGAGCTCAGGACAGCCCAAAGACGACCAAACGAGGTCCATGTGGGCCCTGCAGGAACGAAGACGAAAGGTGTCACATGTTACGGCTTTCCTCTTCGTCGTCGTCGTCGTCCTCCTCCTCCTCCTCATCACCACCGTCCTCGTCCTCGTCCTCCTCATGACCATGGTCACCACCACCACCATCACCATAACCATCACCATCATCATCATCAGCACCATCGTCTTCGTCATCGTCATCGTCGCCATCGTCATCATCATCATCATCATCATCATCATCATCATCATCATCATCATCGTCGTCGTAGTCGTCGTCGTCGTCACCATCAGCATCGTCATCGTCATCGTAATCGTCGTCGTCATCACCAGCATAAGCATCAGCATCATCATCATCGTCGTCATCATCAGCATCAACATCACCATCATCATCAGCATCATCATCACCATCGTCATCATGTTTTTTCGTCCCCCGCGTCCGCCACAATCCTCCTCCTCCTTCTCCTCCTCCTCCGCCTCCCCATCATCCTCCTCAGCCTCTCATGGAAATAATCATGCTCATCATCACAATCGTCATCAGGTTCGTCGTCGTCGTCATCATCATCATCATCATCATCATCATCATCATCATCATCATCATCATCATCATCATCATCATCATCATCATCATCATCATCATCGATTCGAACAGCTGCCACCGAAAATGAAAATGCTGGGCTGGCACGGTGGCGGGACTCACCGCAGGCAGCTGGATATTTCATGCACGCCTCGGGGCACAGATCGACGTCGTCCGTGAGCGTCTCGCTCTGCGTGCACGCGGTGGCCGCCACCCCGCCACAACTCTCGTCCCAAACGTCCTGCGGCACATCCTGGCACCCAGTCGGATCGTTATCCTCTCCGATCTTCCCATGCTGGCAATACTTCTTCCCCGACGCGATCGCCTTGAACTTCAAGAATGCTTTCCTCTCTGGGTTCGCAACCGGTGGGAAGAGCTGGTTTTCGCAAGCGTCGATGCTGTGGACCACCTCGATAGCGATCGGGCTCAGGGCGAACCAACCCACGAACGCCACGAAGAAAGATACTGTCGAGGCCCAGAAAGCCCGCATGTGAGCACCATGCCTCTTGTCCCTGCCGAGCGCGCCGCACAGCCTCAACTCCGTGGACTTCAACTGGTCGTTCACCCTCACCGCGAACTCCTGCTCCGACATGTCTGCGTGGCTCTCGCGCGTGTGCTGCCGGGCCAGAGTGACCGTGCCGGAACTATTGGAGCCGAAACAAAAAATGCTACGGAGAAAAAAAACATGAGGAGGCCTCCAGCCTCCAAGGGCTGCCGGGGAGACAATCAAAACATCCACACAAGGCACGGTTCGCCGCGCCCAAGGGGGGGGAACCTGCCGGCCCCCTTGTGGGGCCACCAAGCTGCGAGGGCCAAGCTTTGCCGCAGCCACTCCAGTTTCTAATTGTGACTTGTTGCTGAGCGCGCGAGGCCCCTAGGCCGCAACCTATCGTGAATTAGGCCAGACTCGCGCTCCCGAGGCCACAGTCAATCGTAAATCATGTCGGGCTCGCGCTCCCGAGGCCGCCCTCCCCCTTCAATTATACCAGGCACGCGCTCCCGCGGCCACGATCCCTTGCAAATTACGCCAGACTCGCGCTCCCCACCCCACGATCCCTCGCAAATTACGCCAGATTCGAGCTCCCGACGCCACAGTCCATCGACATTTCGCCAGACCAGATTCGCGACCCCGAGGCCGCGATGCCCCGCAATCTACACCAGACTCGTTAAAAACACAAGTTATGTGAATTCCGCGTTTCTAGACCACGTGGTCACAGGAGCACCCACAGCAGCATGCAAAACAAAATAACAAATAAAAACTGAATATCATTTCGCGCTCCTGGACCGCGGCCGGCCACCGGAACACCCAGCGGCAGGCAGGACAGAAGAGTGACAAAAGTTCATACTCTTTTCGCGCTCCTGGACCGCGCGCCACCAGGGCACCCACAGCAGCACGTCAGACGGAAGAGAAACCGGGATTTTGGGTTGCTTCCATACGAAATCCAAAGGAAAACCGGGATCTTGGAGTGCTTCCATAGGAAATCCAAAGGAAAACCGGGATCTTGGAGTGCTTCCGTAGGAAATCCAAAAGAAAACTGGGATCTTGGGCTGCTTCCATAGGAAATCCACAGGAAAACCGGGATGTTGGGCTGCTTCCATCGGAAATCCAAAGGAAAACCGGGATCTTGGGCTGCTTCCATAGGAAATCCAAAGCAAAAACCTTGATTTTGGACTGGTCCCATAAGAAATCAAAACAAACAAAAATTACAAAAAAACGGGATCTTGGAGCGCTCCCATAAGAAATCCACAAGAAAACCGGAATCTTGGATAGGTTCCGTAGGAAATCCAAAGGAAAACCGGGATCTTGGATTGGTTTCATAGGAAATCCACAGGAAAACCAGGATATTGGGCTGCTTCCCTAGGAAATCCACAGGAAAACCGGGATCTTGGGGTGCTTCCGTAGGAAATCCAAAGGAAAATCGGGATCTTGGGGTGCTTCCATAGGAAGCCCGAAGGAAAACTGGGATCTTGGACTGGTTTCATAAAACGAGAGAAGAAGGTGATCTTGGATTGGTACAGTAAAAAATCAAAAAGAAAACCGGGATCTTGGAGTGCTTCCTTAGGAAATCCAAAGGAAAACCGGAATCCTGGACTGGCCCCATAGGAAATCCGAAAGAAAACCGGGATCTTGGATTGGTTTCATAAAAAAAAATCCAAAGAACACCGGGATGTTGGGCTGCTTCCATAGGAAATCTAAAAGAAAACAGAGATCTTTGATTGCATCCATAAAAATCCAAAGGGAAACCGGGATCTTGGAATTGTTCCTTCGGATATTCATATGAATACCGGGATCTTGGACTGATCCCATAGGGAATCCAAATGAAAACCGGGATCTTTGATTAATTTCATGACAAATCCAAAAAAACCGGCCGGGATCTTGGATTGCTTCCTTAGGAAATCCAGGAAGCCCAAAGGCAAACCGGGATCTTGGGGTGCTTCCATCGGGAATCCAAGGGAAAACAAGAACCTTGGATTGCTTCCGAAAAAATCCGAAGGAAAACCGGGATCTTAGGCTGCTTCCCTAAAAAATCCAAAGGAAAACTGGGATCTTGGAATGCTTCCTTAGGAAATCCAAATGAAAACCGGGATCTTGGGGTGCTTCTATAGGAAACCCAAAGGAAAACCGGGATCTTGGTTTGGTTTCATAACAATTCAAAGGACAACCGGGATCTCGGATTGGTTCCTTAAGAAATCCAAAGGAAAACCAAGATCTTGCTTAGGAAATGCAAAGGAAAACCGGGATCTTGGAGGGCTTCCATAAGAAATCCAAAGGACAACCGGGATCTTGGACTGGTTCATGAAAAAACCCAAAAAAGGAAAACTGGGATGTTGGAATGCTTCCACAGGAAATCCAAGGGAATACCGGGATCTTGGGGTGCTTCCATAGGAAATCCAAAAAAACAAAGATCTTGGGGTTCTTCCATTGGAAATCCAAAGGAAAACCGGGATATTGGATTGGTTCCTGAGGAAATCCAAAGGAAAACCGGGATCTTGGACAACTTCCATAAGACATCCAAAGGAAAACCGGGATCTTGGATTGCTTATAAATGAAAAAAACTGGATCTTGGGCTGCTGCCATACGAATTCCAAAGAAAAACTGGGATCTTGGATTGGTTCCTTAAGGAATCCAACGGAAAACCGGAATCTTGGACAACTTCCATAGGAAATCCAAAAGAGAACCGGGATCTTGGATTGCTTCCTAAGATATCCAAACGAAAACTGGAATCGCGGGCTCCTTCCATTGGAAATCCAAAAGAAAACCGGGATCTTGGATTGTCTCCTGAAGAAATCCAACGGAAAACTGGGATCTTGGACAACTTCCATAAGAAATCCAAAAAGGAAAACCGCGATATTGGGCTGCTTCCACAAGGAATCCAAAAGAAAACCGGGATCTTGGGCTGCTTCCATGGGAAGTCCAAAGGAAAACCGGGATCTTGGGGTGTTTCCATAGGAAATCCACAGGGAAACTGGGATCTGGGATTGCTTCCATAGGAAAATCCAAAAGCAAACCGGGATCTTGGGGTGCTTCCATAGGAAATCGAAAAGGAAACCGGGATCTTGGGGTGCTTCCATAGGAAATCCAAAAGAAAACCGGGATCTTGAGTGCTTCCATAGGAAGTCCAAAGGAAAACCGGGATCTTGGATTGCTTCCATGGGAAATCCAAAAGCAAACCGGCATCTTGGGGTGCTTCCATTGGAAATCCAAAAGAAAACCGGGATCTTGGGGTGTTTCCATGGGAAATCCACAAGAAAACTGGGATTTTGGGGTGCTTCCATAGGAAATCCAAAGGAAAACCCGGATCTTTGATTATTTCCATAGGAGATCCATAAAGAACCGGGATCATCGGGTGCTCCCATAGGAAAACCAAAGGAAAGCCAGGATCTTGGATTGCTTCCATAAGAAATCCAAAAGAAAACCGGGATCTTGGAATGCTTCCATAGGAAATCCAATAGAAAACCGGGATTTTGGGATGCTTCCATAGGACGTCCAAAGGTAAACCGGGATCTTGGATTGCCTCCATAGGAATTCCAAAGGAAAACCGGGATCTTGGGGAGCTTCGATTGGAAATCCAAAGGAAAAACCAACATCTTGGATTGCTTCCATCGGAATTCCAAAAGAAAACCGGGATCTTGGGATGCCTCCATAGGAAATCCAAAGGAAAACTGGGATCTTGGATTGCCTCCATAGGAATTCCAACAGAAAACCGGGATCTTGGATTGCTTCCATAGGTAATCCAAAAGAAAACCAGGATCTTGGATTGCTTCCATACGAAATCCAAAAGCAAACCGGGATCTTGGGGTGCTTCCATAGGAAATCCAAAAAGAAGCCAGGCATCTTCGATTGCTTCCATAGGAAATCCAAAAGAAAACTTGGATCTTAGATTGCTTCCATAGGAAGTCCAAAGGAACACCGGGATCTTGGATTGCTTCCATGGGACATCCAAAAGAAAACTGGGATCTTGGGGTGCTTCCATCGGAAATCTTCAAGACAACCGGGACCTTGGATTAGTTCCATCGGGAATCCAAAGGAAAACTTGGATCTTGGATCGCTTCCAGAGGAAATCAAAAGGAAAACCTGGATCTTCGATTGCTTCCATGGGAAATCCAGAAGGAAAACCGGGATCTTGGATTGCTTCCATGGGAAATCCAAAAGAAAACCAGGAAGGTGGGGTGCTTCCATAGGAAATCCACAAGAAAACCGGGATCTTGGATTGGTTCCATCGGAAATCCTAAAAGAAAACCATCATCTTGGATTGCTCCCATACGGAATTCCAAAGGAAAACCGGGATCTTGGGGTGCTTCCATTGGAAATCCAAAGGAAAACCGGGATCTTGGACTGCTCCCATAGGAAATCCAAAGGGAAACCGGGATCTTGGGGTGCTCCCATAGGAAATCCAAAGGAAAACCAGGATCTTGGATTGCTTCCATAGGAATTCCACAAGAAACCCGGCATCTTGGATTGCTTCCACGGGAGATCCGAAAGAAAACCGGCATCTTGGATTGCTTCCATAGGAAATCCAAAATTATCCTGGCGAAGGACCCAACCATATGCAATTGTGAATACTGCAAGTGTGAAAATCTTCTCGGTGGAGCCCCCTACGGGGCCACGAAACGCACGAGGGGTGCGCCGAAATGGGTGTGCGGGACGCATGCGGGCACACACACTGGGGCCTTCGGTGGAGCTCTCTATGGGGCCAAGAAACGTGTGAGGGGTGTGCCGAAATGGGTGCGCGGGACGCATGCGGGCACACCCACTGGGACCTTCGGCGGAGCTCCCTATGGGGCCACTGAACGCGTGAGGGGCGTGCCGAAATGGGCGTGGCTGACGCATGCGGGCGCGGGCACTGGGGCCTTCGGCGAAGCTCCCTATGGGGCCACGAAACGTGTGAGGGGTGTGCCGAAATGGCTGTGGGTGACGCATGCGGGCGCGGGCACTGGGGCCTTCGGTGGAGCTCCCTATGGAGCCACGAAGCGTGTGAGGGGTGTGCCGAAA